AGATAAAACTTTATTGATCTCTTTGATCGGGTACCTCAGGGAAGTTGTTGAATGATGAGTCTAAAGTGACTTCTAATTGTCCAAAATCTGCCCAAAACTACTCAAAATGGTCCAAATTCACAATAATGAATCATAGTTGGTCCTGTCAGTGTCTGTCTATGGATGGATCCATGGTTCTACTAGAATCCAGTCTCTGGTCACATCTCACCACCTGTTGAGGCTCTAACATCAGCAGAACCTGATGTGGTGAAGTTGGACCAGACCAGGTTCCAGGTTTTAGATGTTCAGACTAAATGTGGATCATTGGTAGGAACCAGAACCTGGAGGTCTCAGGTTCTAGATGTTAGAAGCTGCTTCATGTTGAATCATGTTTCCTGATCACATCCAGACCGAACATAAAGCAGGTGATACTTTAACCCACCTCTCAGTGAATCCTCCACACTTTCCCACTAACGAGGATCAACCAGATGTTCTCTGTGTTTCTTTCTGCGTCGTCTTGCAGGAGATCAGCCACGACACCAAGAAGTTCCGCTTCGGCCTCCCGTCTGGGAGCCACATCCTCGGCCTGCCAGTAGGTACTGACGTGATCACCTTCTTCACTCACATCAGCACTTTACATGCACGAACTGGGTTTTAATTAAGACGTAGAGAACATGTCCGGCTGGCTTTTATTAGAATCAGCCAGATGCTGGAAAACTGTTTAAAACACACTTTAGGCCAAAATCCTACATTTTAACTGACAGATGTCATCATGAAGCTTCATTCCTCACAAGAAGACGTTATGTTCTGTTACCAGGTTTCTGAAATTTCATGTTTAAATATTATATATCTAAAAAAACACACTGATTTGCCGTCATTGAATTAATCCAGCTTCATTAGAACCTTAAATTCTGCTCAAACTTCAGATGACGTCAGACTGGAGTTCCACTGAGACGACTACAAGCATTTTAGCTCCGAACCAGAAGAACCATTAAGAGTTCTCCGTCTCAGAATGAACAGAACCTGAACCTCAGCTTTCACAGGAAGGCGTGTTCTGGAGGATTGTTTTTTTTATTTACACAAAACCTTCCTTTATCGTTGTTGTGTTCACTACAAAACATTATTTTAACTATTTCACAGGTCAGGAGGCTTTTTTCTTTTTCTTTTTATCAATAACAATTTAAAACAACGTACTGAGGAATAAACCATGAAGCTCTTATTGTACGTTTTAGACGCTGGTTTGTATATTTGTTTTTGCAAATTAGCATCTTGTCCGACGTTCTGTCGCCAGAATCGTGTTCATGACTCGTGATCGAACTCCTTTTTTATTTGATTAAAAAAAATATGTAAATGCAAAGAAAGTCTCTATTTTTATTCAAGAACATCTACACATTTTAAAAATATATATATTTTGGAGGGTTAACAATATTCCACAACAGTAGTAATGATGATGATGCAATACAAAACAGAAAAACAAATAAAAATAAAGTAAATAACAAGAACAATTAAAAAAACAACAGCAACAATAAAATAAAAATAATAATATTAATAATAACAACAAATAGAGAAAACAACAAAAATAACACAAAACAAATGCAGCATCAATGATAAAAGCCGCATCAACAACAACGACAGCAAAAACAACAACATTGTATCACAACAACAACAATAACAACAATAACATTAATACTAATGAGGAGAGTCCTGATGTCATGCGTCCTCCGCCTGCAGGGCAGCACGTCTACCTGTCCGCCAAGGTGAGCGGCAGCCTGGTGGTCCGAGCCTACACCCCCGTCTCCAGCGACGAGGACCAGGGATTCGTGGACCTGGTGGTCAAGGTGAGCTCACAGCGGGTCACTCACCTGTCCGTCTGTGCAGGTCTAAGGTCAGGTTTATACAAACTGTGCTGTTTGTCTTTTCTTTTTTTCATCACCGTGGATGTTTGTTTGTTTTTTTAATTAAGACAGTTTGCAAGTCATTAAAAAAACTCTTTAAGCTTGTTTGCAAACATGTCATATTAGTAACAACAGTCGTCTGAATGTTGCTGCTAACATCAGTGATAATTAATGTTCATGTTAAAGTCTGTGTCGGCTCAGAGCAGGACGCTGTTTGACCGTCTCAGAATCTGGTGAAACTTTCTAGGAATGATCTGACGTCTGCTCTTTTTTTAGCTGAAGTTCCAACATTTTCATAATTTCAGACGTCCACATCTCCTGAAGTATACGTTCTGGAGTCTCCACATGTTCAGGAGATGTTCAGAAGGTTCAGGCTTCGTTCAAAAATATTTTTGTGTTAATTATTTGTGATCAAATCCTGATTTTGGGAATTCTCAAGCAAAGAACTGAGTCTTGATTTCCAGACCTTGCTGCGTTCTCTCCGTTCACCAGAACCTTCTGAACATCTCCTGAACATGTGGAGACTCCAGGACGTGTACCTCAGGAGATGTGGACGTCTGAAAGTGGCATCTGGCTCGATTTACAACTCGCCAGAGATTTCTATTGAGTGAAAAAGGGTGAAAATGTTGGACTTTCAGCTAAAAAATGGGCAGATGTCAGATCATTCCTAGAAGGTTTCACCAGATTCTGAGATGGTCAAACAACCTGATGGACCCAGATAGGTGTTTACTCATCAGCCAGTGATGCTAACGAGTCCGTTTAATCGCAGTGTGGAGCTAAATATAAGACAACAACAGAACACATGAGAAGATAAGCTGCTGTGTTTGCTTCTGTAACTTCTGCAGGTTTACTACAAGAACATCCACCCGTCGTACCCGGACGGAGGCAAAATGTCTCAGTACCTGGACAGCATGACGTTAGGAGACACCATAGACTTCAGGGGACCCAACGGGCTGCTGGTGTACAAAGGAAAAGGTGGGTGGTTTCATGAAAAGGAAAAAGAAATGTCAGTTTTCAGTTGTTGTGTGTGTTGGGTGCACTTCCCTGCATTGACCAGCAGGCGGCGCGGCGCTACAACACAAACATGGACCGCTCTAACCGAGTGTCTCCGATCAGGTCAGTTCTCCATCCGAGCCGACAAGAAGTCGGAGGCGAAGGTGAAGAAGTTCAGGCACGTGGCGATGATCGCAGGAGGAACAGGTTCGTTAACGCTGAACTCGTTGTTTAGTCGCTTCATGTGGAAGTAATGAGTCCAGATGAGAACCACGAAGGATGAACTCTATGAACGTCCACGTTTAGGTTATCGTCTCTAGTTACACTCTGATTGTTTATTAAAACTCTTCATCCCGTCAGCTGGACAGAAATCCTCTGTGAGGTATTAAGGATTTAATTTAATTTGAATTTTTGCCATTTTTAACAACTTTTCTAACTTTCTGGGCCGGTTTCGATCCAATCTGAACAACTTTGAAGTCATTTTGGACCCAGTTTTGATTCCTTTCTTGGTCTTTCTCAACATGTTTTGATTGAGTTTGGTCATTTATGGTATTTTTTTGTCATTCTCGATAATCTTTGAGCCATTTCAGACAAACCTGAGGTCGTTTCATTTGTTTTTGAGTCACTTTGGGTTTTCCTCTGAGGTTCCTCCTGTCCTTTGTTATAGCTGTGCACGGTTTAGGGCAGCAGTTCTCAAACTCTCTGAGCAACGACCCCCCAAGATAACATCAGTTTGTGTTCGTGACCCCCCAGTTAGAATTTTTAATATCTCACAACTAATAACTTTGTTGTTCGTGCGTTAAAAATGAATGTGTTAACTTCACAGATTAGTCTCTTTACACTAACACGTTAATTATCGTTTGAATGAATGAATGAATGAATGAATTTATTTCAAACAAATGAAAGGGTGAAAAATATAAAAACGAAAGAAAATAATTTTAAAAAGAGCAAAACAGAATAATAATAATAATAACAATATGGCATCATAATCAAATCAAGTTCAGAAAACGAGTGGGGAGAAGGATACACTTTTCATTTTGACAGCCCTAACACACATTTATCTGATAACCGTAGGCTTTATTTTTATTATTATTTATTCACAATGATCTGGCGACCCCCTGAAATTATCTTGGGACCCTCGTGGGGGTCCCGACCCCCAGTTTGAGAACCACTGGTTTAAGGGAAAATATTGAAGCAAAATTTTAACAATTATTATGACTCGCTCTGGATATTTGTTCATTGATTTTTGATTTTAGACCGTTTATTTCTGGGCAGATGTTGTCTTTTTTGACGTATTCTGGGTCATTCTGGATCTTTGATCTTTGGTTCTGGGTCTTCCTGGACCGGCTTCACCAGCTGGTTTCACCTCCTTTTCCTTCAGCTGTTTTATTTTATTTTTTCTTGCACGTAAACTTTCTGCAAACTTCTGCTCCTGAAACTTTGCTTCTCTCAGGTCAGACTCAGAGCTGTGATCTAACGTTTGATGGTTTTGTCCTCGTAGCTCCACTGTGGACACTTTCACGTTATTAAAACTGCTCTGATGTCTCTGCCGTCCCTCCAGCGGGACCTGAACCCTCCGTCAGACTAACTCCATCCTTCTACCTGCTCAGGTATCACTCCCATGCTGCAGCTGCTTCGTAGGATCACGTCCGACCCGTCCGACGGCACCAAGTGTTCGCTGATATTCGCCAACCAGGTGAGCTGAGCGACTCCGGGCCGAGTCAGAGTCGCCGGTGCAGAACTAAAGTCCGTTGTTTTGTCTGCGCCAGACGGAGAAGGACATCCTGCTGAGGGAGGAGCTGGAGGAGGTGCAGAAGAACCATCCTGGGAGAGTGAAGCTGTGGTTCACGCTGGACAAACCTCCACAGGGTGAGGACACCTCATCCAAACCCAGAGCGGTTCATTACAGAGCCTGAGTGATGCTGCCAGCTTCATTCCTGCTTCCTTCACTCACAATTTAAAATAAAAGTTCATGATCTGCTTTTAGGTTTGTCCACACGTTGACTGTTGGGAACTTTTATTGGTCATTTTGGACAAATTTAAAGTTATTTTGGACTCAATTATAGAGTCTTCCTGTCCAGGTTTTCACACACTTTAAGCCGTTCTGGATATTTTTTCTTTTTTTGCCATTCTGGACAAATGTTTATTTCATTTTGGGCAAATTTTTCCATTTATGACTAGTTTTGAGTTATTTTGGACAAATTTTAATTATTTTTTGGTCATTTTGGAATAATTTCTAGAAATCTGGGATATTTTTCTGTACATTTTTTTTAAAGTAATTTCATTTTAGACAATTTTAGGAGTCATTCTGAGCAAAGTTTCAGTGGTCTTTGTTTTTTTTTAACATATTGTAAAATGTTTTGTGATTTGTGATTTTTTTTGTTGACATTTTAACCATTTTTGAGTCATTTTGGACAGTTTTAAGGTCAGTGTGAGTCTTTCTGGACATTTTTTTAAAATTATTTTTAAGTCATTTAAAACATTTTTAAAAATCATTTCAGACAGATTTACGCCATTTTGGATATTTTTCTTAATTTTGGACAGTTTATGAGTCATTTTGAGCAAAGTATCAATGGTCTTGACTTTTTTTTTTTTTTTTTTTTTTACATTTTGTATGGATTTTAAAGGATTTGGGATTTCCTTTGTTTCACATTTGAACCATTTTTCTTTTCATCCTTCTGAACATGTTTTGAGTCATTTTTGACATTTTTTAGGTCAGTATGAGTCTTTCTGGACATTTTTTTCATTTTTGAGTCATTTTAAAAAAAAATTAAATCATTTTTGGCAGATTTGTGCCATTTTGGATATTTTTCTTTAGTTTTAGACAGTTTATGAGTCATTCTGAGCAAAATTTCAATTATCTTGACTTTTTTCTTTTTTTTTAACATTTTGTATGAATTTTGAAGGATTTTTTGATTTCTTTTATTTCACATTTGAACCATTTTTCTTTTCATCCTTCTGAACATGTCTTGAGTCATTTTGGACACTTTAAATAATCTTGCACATGTTTTGACGTTTTGCTCAATTAGTTTTTTCACAATGTTTAAATCAGCTTTGACGACTAAATATCATATTTAAAATCCCTCGGATGAGTTTCTAGCTGCGTATTTCCATCTAAAACCCGTTCCTTCGTGTGTGTCCGTCATGCTACACGGTGAAACATGCAAGCTGGGTTCTGGTAAAACATTTTCCTGGACTGGTTTTTATCCCGTCAGAGCAGCATCAGGCTGCAGGAGGCTGAATAAATCCTAAAAGTGCTGCTGCTGAATATTCAGAGTCAGAAGCCAAACAAAGACTCGCAGCTGCAGGAAAATCCTGAGAGCGAGAATCTCCAACAAGGTGTTAGAGCAGCTCAGCGTCGCCGGCTGCATAATCCTTAAAGCGAGCACAAACTAATGAGCAGAATATTGTTGCATAATCTGCGTTTGAGGCCTTTGAACGCTGCTGAATTCTGCCACGTCTTCATTAGTTCGGCCGCCTTGATCAGGATTCACGTGAAGAGCTCAGCGAGAGGCCGACGTCTGAGGACGAACGAACCGTTTTACTGACGCTCAGAGATCAGATCTTTAAACGCCGAGCAGATTCCACCTCTGATTCACTTGTTTCTTTGATTTCTTCAGTAAACCCATGAAATGATTCTGCTTTTAGGTTCCTCCGTCTGAGTGTTTTCAGTCATTTTGAACATTTTGTTTTGTCATTCTGGACACGTTCTTTGTACAAATACTTATTTTTTTGTGATTTTGGACAATGTCTGAGTCATTTTTGAGCGCATTTGAATCTTTCTGGACAAGTTTGAAGACATTTTTGGAGTTATTTTGGACAAATGGTAAATAATTGTGGACATTTTCGTCATTGCGGACAATTTTTTGGTCATTTTGAGCAATTCTTGAGTCAGTTTGGTAAATGTTTAAGTCTTTTTGTACAACGTTCAACTCATTCTGGACGTTTTTGTCATTCAAACTAAATTCTGAGTCATTTTGGACAGTTTTTTTAGTCATTTGGGGCAAAGTTTTCTCAAGTTTTCCTGAATATTTTGTCTATTTTTGCAATTTTATTACTAATTTTGCAAAAAGGAAAGTCTAATTATCGCCTTTGTTTGTTTTACACTATTAGGAATTCGTTAAATTAACTCCTGAGCCAAACTGTGTCTTGAAGGCAGCTTTTAAGGAAACAGAAAGACTTCAGGCTGAATTTTCATGCAAATATCTTTCATTTCTAAAATCCTGTTTCTCTTGATTCACCTCGTCGTTCCTTTGTCCTGCAGACTGGAAGTTCAGCTCAGGGTTCGTGACGGCCGACATGATCCAGAAGCATCTTCCAGCAGCGTCCAGCGACGTCCTGGTCGTCCTCTGCGGGCCGCCGCCCATGATCCAGAACGCCTGCCTGCCCAACCTGGACAAACTGGGCCACAAGACGGAAAACATCTTCGCCTACTAGTGTTGTTGTTTTGTTTTTTTTAAATCCCGAGTCGGTTTATTCCCTCCATCATTCAGCCACAAAATCAAAAATCACAGAAGGCCATAAAATCCAGAAAGTCTTTTTATTATGTGTGATCTTTGATGTCCTGGATCATGTGTAACTACCATCAAGATATTTGTATTTAAAATAAAATTCCTACAGATTCAGGGGCTGTTTTCTTTTTTGTAAACAAACAAACAAACAAACAAACAAACAAACAAAACAAGTGATGATTTTCAGACATGCAAGCTGGTATGTTTTTCTTCCATTTCACTGTTTATTTCCTCACCTGATAGAGCAACACGGTTTTAATTTACCATAAAAGTTTTCCTCTTTTTACAGAAATATTCACCCAAAAAGTAAAATGTCCCCATGTCACATCAGATAAACCAGAGATAGCAATAGGATCCTTTAGTACTAACATAGTAAAAAAAAAAAAGTAAAACACATGATAATATTATGGAAAATAAAAATAAAAACTCCATCCCATAAAATACAGCAATTTTCCACACATAAAATGCATTTTGTTGGTTTCGTTTAACAGTGTATAGAGTTAAAAACTGTATTTTGACTGAATTACACACTGATAAACGCATGAATTCAATATTTTTTGGGAAAAACATATTTCCGAAATTCCATTTTCTGCAAAAAATTCTTTGAAAAAAAAGTATATACACAAGGCGAAAAGTAAACAGTTTAATTTTGAGCAACTGTATTAATATATTTAGAAAATAAAATTGACAAATTAACTTGTTTAGAGCATAGATTCTTTATTTCAACAATATAACAGAATACCTGACATTAAAACTCTGCTCTTGCTGTGATATTAACGTGGATTGAACACAGACACGTAAATGGGACACTTTATACTGATTCTGCTCTGAAATAACTTAAAAATCACAGTTATCGGGTTAAAAATCAGCAGTGGTGCGTTCAGGTACCTGGTGGCAACATTTCCGAGCGTCCCTGAAGGCCTCCCGGCGGTGGGCGTGTCTCCGCCGCCAACATGGCGGCTTCTGGACTTTAGCGGAACTTTGCTGCAAACATTCACCGAGTTCACGCGTTCAAACGGCCGCAGCCGCTTTAAAATGGCGTGCAAACGGAGCGCGGAGCCGGCGGGGCCTTTTCACGCCACTTTGATTCATAATTTCGCGGTTTTAGTCGCGTTCATCGCCGCTAACTTCCCGACTTGTGGCTGCGAGGGAGTGAGTCCGGAGCGGAGCCTGGTGTGGGGTCCGGGGCTGAGCGCCGACACCGGCCTCCCGGTCCTCCCGGTCCGCTACTTCTACATCCAGGCGGTGGACTCGAACGGACAGAACCTGACTCTGTCTCCAGGTAAACTGAAAACAGAGGCTACATCCGTGTGGTACCGTTAATTGAAGCTAACGGATTTAGCATCACAATTCTGTGTTTAATCAACTAACGCATCGAGCTAGCAACAGGTAACAGCAGCTTGTTCCTGCTGGCAGCGTCAAAAACGGGTCGAAAACCTGTAATATCCTAATTTATTATCTCTGTTCGCCTCACAACAGGTTAAAATGCTCATTTTTGTTCAATTTGTAGCCAAAAACCTCTAAAAAAGCAGTGTTGTAGGTCTTTAATTAGCTAATAAACACATCAGAGCTAACAGACATTATTCATATTCAAGCTAACTTTGGTTTAAAGTGAGTTTTTATTTGAGCTAAACGTTTATTCCGGCTGGAAATGACACAAACAAGTGAGAAAGGATGGTTAGATGTTGTTTTAGGGATGTTAGTGATTGATTTTAGCAGCTTTTATGTCCATCCTTGTTAATACTTTAGTCAATAATCAATATCAAAGCTGTTATTTGCCTCCAGATCAATCAGACAGTTCCTATAATCAGGCTTCTCCACTGGGAGTACAAACCACTGCTCCTCACTGGAGCTATAATGTCCAAGTTTTATATGTTTTTAGCCTCACAGCAGTTTAAAATGCTTGTTTTTGTTCACTTTGTAGCCCCAAACCATAAAAAACAGACTTCAGTTAGCTAATAAACACACCAGGGCTAACAGATATCACTCATATTCAAGCTAACTGTGGTTTAAAGTGAGTTTTATGTGAGCAGAAGGTTTATTCTGGCTGGAAATGACACAAACAAGTGAGAAAAGATGGTGTTGGAGATGTTTGTGATGAATTTTATGTCCAAAATGATTCATACTTTTCTCAGTAATCGGTAACGAAGCCTTCATGTTGAACCAGTTCTTACTTGAATACGTCTTTTCCAGGCAGAAGAAGCCTTATTATTTTATAAATCAGAGTTTTGTACCAGCGTGGCTCCGTGTATACGTCACTATGTTGTTCTGCGACAGAGGAAATGAGCTCATGAGTCTCTGAAACGTTTCCATGCGTCTGTTCAGGTAAAGACACGTTCAAAGTGAAGATCCGTCCAGCGGATCAGAGCGAACACGTCCGTATCCACGTTCCTCCGCCTCTGGACCGAGAAGACGGCTCCTTCCTGATGAGGTACCGGCTCTACGGGTCGGCGCTGAACGGCCTGAAGGTGGAAATCCTCCACGGAGACGCCGCCGTGGCCAAATCGCCGTACATCATCCCAGGTTGGTCCAAGATCAGCGAGTCACATCAGTTTTTGTTTGTTTATAAAGTCTAGAACATCATTCAGTATTGTGTTCACAGACAAAATAGTTTTTAAAAGGGATAAAGGATGAAAGTTTCACATTTTTTAAGCATAATTTCTCATGATACTAACAGTGTTCAATGAATGCTGCAGCTAATGATTTTTGTTTTTGTTTATAAATCTGTAGATTCTTTTCTTGAATCAGAAAATGGTGAAAACTCGTGTTTCCTAAAGTCCAAGATTACAGACGTCTTATTTAGTCCACAGATGTTCAGTTTACTGACAGAGAGGAGGAAAGAAACCAGAAAATAATCACATTTAATAATCTGAAATCAGAGCATTTAGACTGTTTTTTAATTTTTTTTAATTACTCAAACCAACCTATAACCAACAACTAATCGATTAATTAATCCGTTTTTTAACGGCTCTGATTAACCGTCTGAATGCAGATATTGAATTAATGTCTGAACTCAACATTTGCACTAAATGAAGTGTTCAGGAGCTGATTCAGGACCTTTGTCTTGTTGTACAAAAATCAGATTTTATCCTAAAAATCAAAGAATTTTTTCAAGAACTTAAAAAAAAATCAAACCAGTTAATTTAATGATAATTAATTTAATCGTTAACGACTAACTGGTGAATCATTGCAGCTTTAGTTGAAATTCAGCAGCTGATTGTTGCAGCTCCTGTGACGCTAGAAGCAGATTAAAGCTAAATAAATGTTTTGGGTTCTTTTCGGTCTCAGGTCCGGTTCATCACGAGTACTGCGACTGCCCGGAGCCCGACGCCGCCGTCTGGCAGAGCGTCATGCGGTGTCCCGACGTCGAGCCTCAGATCCTGGAGGACTTCAAGTCGTTCCCCTCCATCGACCTGCAGCACCTGCGGCAGGAGGTTCCGCTCAGGTTCTCCAACAGGGGAGGCCTGGTCCACTACGTGGTCATCGACAACCAGCTGCACCGCCGCACGCTGGGGAAGTACACCGACTTCAAGATGTTCTCCGACGAGATGCTGCTGTCGCTGAGCAGGAAGGTGACGTCTGGGCCCACTTCATTTACTTTATTATCCAACAACAGCTTTTCCAACGTACACCAAGTTTTAACTGATCTGAGGAAAACCGCATTTTCCTGCTACGCCACCACGGGCTGGGAATGATCTGCAGAGAGATGTTAGGTTAGAAACACTCACATCAATTAATACGTTTAAGGGCATCGTAAAGACGAGATTGTTTTTCTTGGGAGGTCAGCAGTGTTTTCGTAGTTGTTCTTGTTGTTTATCTGTTCGTTTCGTCTTGGCTGCTACCTCGGCCAGGTCTCTGTTGTAAAAGAGACTTTGACTCTCAATGGGACTTCCTGGTTTAATAAAAAAATAAAAATAGCTTTATTTATTTCAGAACAGCCAGTTTACATTCCTGGTTTTGTGCAGAAGAGGACACGACGACGTCACACGCAGCGAGCGTGCTCAGTGTTTATGGAAGTAAACATGGATGGTAACGGTGGAGCGTATCTGCCACTCCC